CAGATGGTAGAGCGAAGACAACTCGGGGCTCCCATAGGGGAGGACACGTTCTCATTTCGTATCGTGCGCGCACTGCAGGTCGTACATATCGCACGCTTGCTTCTGAGATGTTTCAGCGGTTGCACTGATCAACCCGAGGCCCAATGCAGAACCAGCCAGCCAGTCTCCTCCTCCTCTTCTTATTGTTAGTCTTCGTATCATTAGTATGCTTAGTATTATTCATATTGATATGATTAGTCGTATTATTCCTAGTATTAGCTATCTTAGTTGTTGTTGTAATGAGTATCATTGTTCTCCGAAGTCTTAACATGTTTCGTATGATTATCAGTGATGCTAAGATTCGCACTGTTACTTTTGATAGTGTTCGTATGATTCGTGTTGCTAATACGTTTATCATCATTACTCTTTTTCATAATCTTAGTATTGCCATTATTATTATGCGGCGCATTACTCTTATGAGTCGTATTATTCCTAGTAGTGTTACGCTTCATCGTATGATTCGTCTTATTCGTGTTATCATTATTGTCCGTATTCTTATTATTATCATCCGAATTCGTATTATTAGTATGATGCGTAATATTATTCTCCTTATTATTAGTAGTGTTCTTAGGCTTCTTCTTATCCATCTTGTTCGTAGTACTAGTAGTTCATCTGATCCATCTGATTCATCTTATCCATATTCCTCCTCCTCCTCCGCATCCTCCCTCTCCTTCTGTTCCTCCTCCTCCTCCTCCCCCTCCTCCTCCTCCTCCTCCTCTTCCGCCTCCTCCTCCTTTTTCTCTTCCTTCTCCTTCTCCTCCGCCTCCGCCTCCGCCTCCGGCTCCGCCTCCTCCTCCTCATCATCATCCTGATAAGTATCATCATCATCATCATCATCATCAGCATCAGCATCACCATCAGCATCATCATCATCATCATCATCATCATCATCATCTTCATCATCATCATCATCATCCTCATCATCATCATCATCATCATCACCATCATCATCATAGTCATCATCAGCATCATCATCGTCATCATCGTCATCCGCAGCAGCAGCATCAGCAGCAGCATCAGCAGCATCATCAGCAGCAGCATCAGCAGCAGCATCAGCATCAGCATCAACATCATGATCATCAGCAGCAGCATTCGCAGCAGCAGCAGCATCAGCATCGGCATCGTCATCATCAGCAGTCTCCGCATCAGCATTATCATCATCATCATCATCATCATCCTCAGATCAGATCAGATCAGAATCAGCACCAGTGTCAGCATCAGCACATTCATCATCATCATCATCATCCTCCTCGTCCTCGTCATCGAACTCGACATCTGCAGTATCATCATCATGCGCAGCACCATCATCGTATTCAGCATCCTCAGCATCATCAGCATCATAAGCATCATCAGCATCATAAGCAGCAGTAGCAGCAGCGACATCGGCATCGGCATCGGCATCAGCATCAGCATCAGCATCAGCATTGGCATCCGCATCATCAGCATCATCATCAGCAGCATCAGTATCAGCAGCATCATCATCAGCATCATCATCAGCATCAACATCAACATCATCATCACCATCAGCATCATCATCATCATCCTCCTCATCCTCATCCGCAGAATCAGCATAATCAACAGCATCAGCATCATCAGCATCATAAGCATCATAAGCATCATCAGCATCAGCATCAGTAGCAGCATCGGCATCGGCATCAGCATCAGCATCAGCATCAGCATTGGCATCAGCATCATCAGCATCATCATCAGCATCAGCATCATCATCATCATCAGCAGCAGCATCATCAGAATCATCACCATGATCAGCATCATCAAGCATCAGCATCAATAGCCTCAGAATCATCATAAGCATCAGCATCATCATCAGTAGCAGCATCGGCATCGGCATCGACATCAGCATCAGCATCAGCAGCAGCATTGGCATCAGCATCATCAGCATCAGCATCGTCAGCATCAGTATCAGCAGCATGATCATCATCAGCATCAGCATAATCATCACCATCATCAGCATCATCATCAGCATCAGCATCAACAGCCTCACCATCATCATCATCACCGCCAGCCTCAACATCCTCCACAGCATCATCATACGCCTCAGCATCCACCTCATCAACAGCATCATCAGCATCATCATCAGCATCAGCAGCGTCAGCATCAGCATCAACATCAGAATCAGCATCCTCATCCTCGGCCTGGTCATCAGCATCATCATCGTCATCATCAGCATCGTCATCGTCATCATCATCAGCAACACCACAATGATCAGCATCAACCGCGTCAGCATCGCCCTCATCCTCAACCGCATCATCATCATCATCATCATCATCATCATCATCATCAGCATCACAGCATCATCACCATCAGCATCATCATCGCCAATATAATCACCATCCTCATCATCAGCATCATCCGCAGAATCCGCATCAGCATCATGATCAGCATCACCATCGTCGCCATCATCAACATCACCATCATCATCATCAGTAGCAGCAGCAGTATCATCATCGTCGTCAGCATCATTATCATCAGCATCAGCATCTGCATCATCATCGCCATCATCATGATCAGCATCATCATCGGCATCAGCATCAGCAGCATCATCATCAGCATCCTCCTCACCATCGGCATCATCAAAAACCTCTGAATCGTCATCATCGACATCATCATCAGCATCAGCAGCAGCATCATCATTATCATTCTCCTACTCATACTCATGCGCCTCCTCCTCATCAGCATGATCTTCCTCCTCCTCATCCTCATCACCATGGTAAGCAATCATCATTGTCATCAGCATCATCACCATCATCGTCCTCGTCATCATCATCAGCAGCATCAGCATCACAACCACCACCACCATCATTATCAGCATCAACATCATTATCATCATCATCAACATCATCATCAGCATCATCAGCCATATCGTCGTCATCATCATCATCATCAGTATGCTCATGATCATCATCAGCATCAGCAGCATCAGCATGATCATCATTTCCATCGTCATCATCATGAGCATCAGCATCATCATCGGCATCATCATCGGCAGCATCAGCATTATCAGCATCTCATCCTCCTCCTCCTGCTCCTCCTCCTCCGTCTCCTCCTCCTCAGCTCTCCGACTGCCGCCCCGAAAAACCTCGCCACCTCCTCCTCCTCCACCTCCACCTCCTCCTTTTCCTCCTCGTCATCACCATTATCGTCATCATCATCATCATCGTCATCATCATCAGCAGCAGCAGCATCATCACCATCATCAGCATCATCATCATCATCGTCACCATCACCATCATCATCATCATCATCATCATCATCATCATCATCATCAGCAGCAGCAGCATCATGATCATCATCAGCATCATCATCATCGCCACCAGCATCATCATCAGCATCATCAGCGTCAGCATCACCCTCATCCTCATCCGCATTATCATCATCATCGTCAGCATCATCATCGCCATGATGAGCAGCATCATCATCATCAGCAGCAGCATCACCATCATCATCAGTAGCAGCAGCATCATCATCGTCGTCATCATCATTAGCAGCAGCATCATCATCAGCAGCATCATCAGCATCATCAGCATCGCCGTCATCATGATCAGCATCCTCATCATCATCAGCATCAGCATCATGATCATCCTCATCATCAGCATCATCATCAACATCGGAATCATCCGCATCATCATCAGCATCATCATCATCATCATCATCACCCTCATCAGCGTCAGCATCATCATCATCATCATCATCATCATCATACTCCTTCTCATACTCATGCGCCTCCTTCTCATCATCATTATCATACTTCTGCTCCTCATCCTCATCACCATGGTCAGCATGATCATCAGTATCAGCAGCATCATCCCATCATCGTCCTCGTCATCCTCATCATCAGCAGCAGCAGCAACATCAGCATCACCACCACCACCACCACCACCATAATCATCATCAGCATCATCAGCACCATCATCATCACCAGCATTATCGTCGTCATCATGGTCATCATCAGCATGATCATTATCACAATCATGATCATGATCATGATAACCATCATCATCATAATCATCATCATCATCATCATCATCATCATCATCATCATCATCATCATAATCAGTAGCAGCATCATCATCATAATCAGCATCATTATCCTCTTCCTCCTTCTCCTCCTCCTCCTCCTCTCCTCCTCCTGCCCCCCCTCCTCCTCCTCCTCCTCCTCTTCTCCCTCCTCCTCCTGCCGCCCCGAAAAGCCTCGACCCCTTTTCCTCCTCTTCTCCCTCCTCCTCCTCCACCTCCTCCTCCTTCGCATTTTCCTCCTCGTCAACACCATCATCGTCATCAACTTCTCCATCATCATCATCATCATCATCATCATCATCATCATCATCATCATCATCATCATCATCATCATCATCATCATCATCATCATCATCAGCATCCTCATCATCATCAGCATCAGTATCAGCATCATCACCACCATCATCACCACCATCATCATCAGCATCAGCATCAACATCAACATCACTCCTCAGTCAACGTACACACTCGTCTGCACGCGCTCTTGCTCGTGCCTGCTGCTCTGCTGCTCTCGATCTCTGCGGCCCTCAAGCCGCGCCCTTTTCCAGGACAGAGGGGGGAGGCATGTAAGTTGTGCCAGGTGTCCGCCACTTCCGGCGGGGAAGTTGCGCCGACAGAATGCGCGAAGAGCACTGGCTGCAGCCTGGATCCGAAATGGCCGCGCACGCGCGGGGGTCAGGGCGAGTCGAAGACGAGCACGATGAGAAGGTTCTGATCACTCTGGTTGTACTTCGAAGCCGCTCACTCCTCAAGATCTCATCATCACTTGGCAGCCGATGTCACCGGCTCGTCAAGCCCAGGACCCCACACTGGCTCACTGGATCCACGAATAGGCGTGCAACCGAGACGTAGTCGTGCTGACTTAGAAGGTTTTGTCAACCGCCAGCGTCCAGACGAGAGCGCATCAAGAAGAGGTTCTCGAGCACATGCGCCCTTGGTCATAGCGTCCGCCAGCATGTCGACTGTGCTGCACCACCACAAGCGCTCCATGAGGCCGAGGCTGAACTGCTCCCGCACGGCCATCACGATGCTGATGAGCGACTCCTCCAACGGCAACTTGACGTCTTGTGCGGTCACGGACTTGAACACCGAGTCCGCGTCGATGACCGCTTCCATGCGTACTGGCCAGTTGCCCTGCGATGCGTCGTTCGCCAGCATGTGCGCGGTGGTGGTGCCGTTGATCACCTCACTGTACGGCATCGCGATCACCTTGCCCGGCTCGATGGCGTCTGCGAGGCCGTTGATCTCCGCTGCGAAAGTCGACCGCGTCACTCGACGATGCCGTTTGGAGACTGCCTCCAGCCAATGAGCTCTGCCACCTGGGTTGTCATCCTGCTTCTCGGCCAGAGCCAGCACATGCCCGCGGCACGCCATGGACTCGCCGTTCTCGCGCTTGAAGGCTGAGTCGCTGGTGACCAGCACGCGCAGCGGCGGCACCAGCTTCTCGAAGGGGATCACGCAGGGCTTGCGCTTAACCCACTTCAGCACGCGGTTCAAGTTGATCACGTCCATGATCGCGGGTGCCTTCTGATGACGCTGAAGTGCTCCCACGTAGACCGCGATGTCGTGCCTGGCGTTGACGGCCCATCCCAGACCGCCTTGAAGTGCAAGAAAGTGTCCGTGAAGAACGTCGTCCATCACATCGTCGGGCGACGACCTCTGCTCCGCTGTGATCGGGATAGGCTTGAGCTGCTTGACGCAGCGGTCCTGCGCGATGGCGATGCTGCCATCGCCGAGCTGCTTGTGCTGAATACCGCAGTGCTCGAACTCCCGCTCCTGCACGGTGATCTTGCCGAACTTGGACTTCAACTGCCCGAACAGCCATGCACGCCATTCGGGCGTACCGGCTCCCTTCAGGTCGTCGATGTGCGTGGACAGCAGTCCATGAAGACTCCCGTCTTTGAACCACATCCAGATGCACCCATCAAGAGAGGACTGCTGCCCTCCGACTGCGGCCAGGTACTTGTCCAAGCGTAGCTTCCATAACCTCGGGGCGTCCTTCAGGCCGTAGGCACCCTTGAGAAGCCTGAGCAGGTGCGTCATCTTGCTGGTGCCCTTGAGGGCCGCGAACTCCTGCAACATGGAGAAGACGTCTGCCGGTGGGTCCAGGCACGCCTCTCGCATAACCTCCGCACCCTGCTCCTTGATCTCGGTGAAGCTGAGCCCTCGCAGGAACGCGTTGCCGATGTCCCAGCTGAAGATAGCCCAACCATACTGCACCCCAACACTGAGGACGAGGCGCTGTGAAGTGCGCCTTGCGGTGAAGCTGGCCGCGTCAAGGCCGCCCTGCCGCTGGTCCATGAGGCCTCTGATGACCAGACGGGCTTTGACAGCCTTCGCGCCGTCGATGATCTTCCACCGCAACACCCAACGTCCTGTCATGACGTTATTGCCAGCTCCCCTAGGTACGGGGGCAGAAGGCCTCGAGCTCCACCCAGGACTTGAGCTCCTTCAGCTTGGCCGTGATCACGTCCTTGTGGTGGGTGCGCTCCTCCTCCTCCTTGAGGCTGCGCATCTCCCTCTCGATGAGGAAACACCAGCTCCGCCTGGAAGAAGCCCATCGCGCTACGAGACGTCCATCTCGCCAGTCGCCCATGTGGGTAACGAAGTGGCCGCGCTCCATCCAGCGCACGAGAACGTCGTCGAACTCGATCTCTGGAGGCTCGCTACCGGTGACGCTCGGCGGAGAAACTCCAGACAGAGCTTCGCTCACGTTGAAGAAATCCTTCGTCTCGATGATCTGCCTGCTGCAATGACTGCTGACCGCAGCCCACCAAGCGTCGACGTAGAGGTTCTCGTCGCACACCTCCTCGTCGTCGTCCTCCGAGACCTCGTCGAGGCGGTCGCCGTCCTCGTCGTGCGGGATGGTCTCGAGCTCAGCTTGGTCATCATTGTCAGGAACCTGAACTTGCTCAGCAGCAGGTGCTGGAGCACTCGGCCCACTGTTTGACGAAGCTCCTGGCGTAGACGTCGGTGGTGCTACTTGCTCATGAGGTTCTCGTAGAGGGAGAACTGGTCCGCCAGTCACTGTGGACTCCTCCTCCTCCACCCGAGGTCGCCGTGATGGCGTAGACGGTCCCGCCAGGGAAAGTGCACTCGATCTGCCACGCTTCGGAACTCAAGGTTCGCCACTGCTAGCTGGTGGCGCAGTCGGTGCAGGCGGTGCGAAACGAACAGATTTGTCAGATCTGCTCCTTGATACCGAAGGCGTGGGTGTCCGTTGTCGTGGGTCCATGGGCTCGTCCGGGACGAACACTTCCTGGTCTGGTCCAGGAAGATCTGGAGGATCTCGAATCTCCTCCAGTATGGACGAGAGCTCGACTCCGGCTTCGCTCACTCTGTGGAGGGAGGCAAACGGCCACGACTAGCGTCAGGAGGTGCTGGTGGCTGAGGAGGTCGTGGTGGCAAGCCTGCCGGGACCACGTCCTCGTCGGAGTCGTCGTCGAAGCTGCCCATGGCCCTGTCCATATCGGTGTCTGGTGGTGCGCGCTCGCGCCCCTCACGCTGTATGATCTGCGCGTCCGTATCCACGACGGTGAGGAACTGCACCCAGTAGGTGTCGTGCCAACGCCCGCCGAACACCTGCGTGGTGTCGAGACGGCGCGTCCCTTGCCACTCCAGGTAGCTGTAGCCGCCCTGACCGGTGTACCAGTTGACGAAGGGCGCGTAGGAGACGGCGTCCATCTCCGGGATGGTGCGAATGCCGTAGCCCACTCGGATGCCCACGCAGTTGGCGAGGCCCATGTGCATGTTGGCGATCATGAGGCCGCGAGCGCATATCCCAGGATGAAGTCGAGCTCCCTGAGATATGATCCAGCCCTGCGCTGCGTAGACCCAGCCGATGACAGTCATGCGACGGCCGAGTTCGGCAACGAACTCCCGCAGCGGGGCCCACTCGTCTGGGAACTGCAGGAAGAAGCTCGGCCAGAACACGATATGCCGCCTCACGTCCTGGAGCCTGCAGATGAGCACGCGACCGCCCCAGCGCACGTGGACGATGCCGTCGTTGAGCGTCTCCTCCGTGGCGTCCACGATCTTCGCCGGGCCTCTCCAGCCGTCGAGGTCCTTGTTGGGCGGCGTCCGGAAGATGTCGACGAGGTCGCCCGTCTTGCACTGGAACTTCTGGCCAGCCGGGCGCGTGCGAGAGCGCACAGACCTGTCGACGCGCTCGATCGCCGTCTTCTCGATCATGCTGGAGAGAGCAAGCTCGCGCGCACGCGCTCGATGAAGATGCTGCTGATCTTCCTGCTGAGTCGTCGTGGGAGTCTCGAAGTCCTGGAGCAGATGGGGCGTCTCGCCCAGAACAGCCTTGCACAGTGTGGTCTTGCCGATGGTCATCAGGGCGTTCTTCGCGTAGCACGACTCGAGCACGATCTGCTCAGGCTTGATGATGATGCCCTCGCGGTCGCACTGCTCCTTCAGGCGATGGCAGACCCCACGGAGGACTTCATGATGTATCTCGACCATCTGGGCGTGTTGGTCCACGGCCCCTGAGCTTCCTGTGAGTCGCATGATGCTCGCACATAGCCATACCGGCGTCGTGTGCGAAAGCTCCTTCTTGGCCGATGATGAGAACACGTGGGGGTGCGAAGGTCGCGATCCACACGTCCTCAAAAGCAGGAAGAACATCACCTTCTTCTCGTGAAGGAACGGCTCGAACTGCCGTCCATCTGGTGGCCTCGTCCAGCACGCGCAGGATGGCGAGCTGAAAGATGAAGAAGGTCCACCTGCACGACCTGGTTGAACCTGGTGGTGAGCCGCACTGCCGACATGGATTTGGCAGTGGGTCGCTGCCACATCTGGCAGATCTTGCAAGCTCGAACCACGGGAGCCACCATGTCTAAGATTCGCTGCCCAATCCCAGCGGCCTCCAGCAGCTCGATCAGCTGGTCCGCCGACTGGTGGTAGTGTCGTATATGTAGGCGCTGAATGACGCGCTTGACCTGGTCGTCGTTGCCGTTGCGCAAGACCTGCAGCGATCGCCCCAAGTCGAACCGTGACCAGTCCGGCTCGTCCAAGGTGTCGGTGGCCTGGGTTCCGATGGTGGCAGTGCTGCGTCTCGCTGGTGCTGAAGGTGATGCCGAAGGTCCCGACGATCCCGAAGCCTCTGGATTCGTCGAGATAGCAGGTGGTCCAGAAAGAGCTTCGCGGATGCGAGCATCGCTGGCTGCTCGAGCCTCGGCCGGGCCCATCTCTGGCTCGTCATCCTCCTTGGCAGGGTCTCCAGGCGAACCTCTGCCAGGGACAGGAGTCCGCGGAGGCGGCTCTGCCTTCTCGCTGCTCTTCGGCTCGGTGATGTCGCCGGCGGGAGCCCGTGGAGCTGCCTTCTCGCGCTCCTCGATATGTTTGGTACTCCACCTGCACTCGTCGTCCTTGAAGGTGTGGCGAGGATCCCAGCGATTGGCCTTGACCTTGCAGGCAGGGCAGGCGAAACGGCGATTCCAGACGCTGCGTGTAGCCGATGCCGGGACGTCCGGATAGAGGCACTCGCCGACGACTCTGGTGTGAGTAGGGTCGTCCTTGCGATGCCTGCGTCTGCGTGCCGGTCAGCCCGCAACCGCCAGCTCCTCGGCCGTAGGGTACGCCTCGACTGACTGCATGTCCAAGGCGCACTTGATGCCTCTGGCGAGCAGCTGGCATAATCGCTTCGGCCACCCCTGGGTGTAGGGCGAGCGACCGTTCTCGTTGATATGATGAACATGCTGTGGCGAAACTCCAGGGCAGCGCAATATCCGAAGAGGCCGAATGATCTCCGGGTGGTTCGCTACAATGAGCGCGTCCTTCCGGATGAGCCGCACTCCGCGTTCGTCAAAGGGGTCGCGAAGCCCAGCTGCACACATCTGGATCCTGATGCTGTGGACGTCGTCTCGCCCAAGCAGTGCCTCCCAGCATGGTAGCTTCCACATCCCGCTCGCATGAGGGTTCTCCACGACGAAGAGTGAACCGTGAAGAGCTTGATGCTCAGCTACTTGCGCAGCCAACCTGGCGAGCTTCTCGCCGATGGCGCGGTTGCGACGCCAGGTATCCCGACACTGAGCTAGATGTCGATGCACGTGCGACCACATGCTGAAGGCGGTGCACGGCGGGGCCATGACGACGACGCGCGGGCGGCACTTCATGATGTAGTACCACAGCTGCCGCACGTCTTCCTTCAGCGTCAAGACGCAGCTGGTGACGCTGTCGAAGATCCGGCCGCCCCTCAGGCCCAAGCGTACGCTGGACCTGGTCGTGCCCGCCTCGCCGCCGTAGATCTCCACGATGTCGATGGCCGACTCGGCGAGGTAGTGCTCGAGGTCGTGGAGGCTGTCCTCGTAGTAGCACTTGGTGTCCGCCGGGTCGTCGATCTCGTCGTCGATGTAGTAGATCTCGTCGGCCTGGGTGGCGCACGTGACGGTGAAGCTGGCGACGACCGCGACGCGCTCGGCGTGCCACTCCTGAGAGAACTCGCCGTCCTTGTCCTTCATCAGGAGCGGGGTGAAGTTGTCGCCGCAGTCCCCCGCGCACTCGTCTGGCAGGACGAGCGTCGGTTTAGCTCGCTTCTTGGTCTTGGTGGCCACCTCCGTCTTGAAGACGAGGGGCTCGACCGTGGTGGTTGCCGTGGTAGAAGCCGAAGTAGAAGGTTCTGATGCACTCTGGTTGTACTTCTCGCTCTCTTTACTCCTAGTTTCAGAAACTTCAGCAGGTCGAAGTGAGCTGCCTTGATCACCTGCTCGGGGTACTCCCTGGATGCCTTGCTGCGGTCCAGGGCGTTGGAAGACTGAAAGCGCTTCCTCGCGGCTTGGTGTAGATGCGCTAGTTGGCAGCGTTGTGCTCGGTAGCTGCCAGCAGGCCAGCCACGAAAGAGACGCGGCAAGTCGATGGTGGATAGAACCCGTCGAACTCGATGCCAGGGTCGACCCGTCACAGGATCGACAGCTCCCAAACCGCGCCAGGAGTACTTCCAATGCTTGAGCCGTTCGTGTGCAAGCAGCGGTTGAAGCTCTGCTTGCTTCCAGAAGTGGCTGCCGGCGGTCGTGTCGATGACGACGGAGGTCCTTGTCCAACTGAGCGCGGACGAGCTGGGTGACGTACCTGGCCAGCTCGTGGTCCTTGGCGCTGCCGGTGCCTGTAGCCGCGCCCGGAGGGTCTAGCCACATGACCTGAGCTGGCTCCTCTCAAACTTGTCGAAGTAGCTCAAGTTGGTGAGTCCGCCACAAGAGGTCCCACTTCGTCGTCAGATCGACTGGTGACCTGGCGTGCATGCCGGCGGCCTTGCTCTTCTCGGTGAACTTGCAGGAGCCGCTGAAGATCTCCCTGAAATAACAGATGTTGGGATCTCCGTCTCCTGCTGGTGGGTCAGGCGTCGTCGAAAGTTGTTTGCACTCGTTGAGCCAGTCGCGGGCGGACTGCTGCCAGTCCAGAAGGCCTCGCGGTGAAGCGCTCGTAGGAACAGTCGATGTGCTCGACGGCGCAGTAGAGGATGTAGCTGCCGAATACGGTCTCGAAGAACCGGCAGTGGCGGCCGTCGTTTTCAGAATTGACCGTGTAGTGATAGTACTTGAAATGGTACTGCGGGGGATTGCCGAAGGCACAGCCGAGCCTTGCCCCCGCTCGTTGCCCGGCTCGCCGGGCCCTCACGGTGGTGTTGGAGCTGCGGAAGGCACCGCAGCGCCGCTGCTGTCTGGCTGACAGCACGCTCCGTAGAGGACCCACTTCGTGGAGGACTTGATCACCTCCTTGTCCTGCTCCTCGAAGTCCGACACGGGGATCATCATGTGCCCCGAGATCGCGTTCTCGCACCGGATCACTTTGCTGCCCGGGCTGAGAGTCATCGAGAAGCCTCCGGGGCCAGGGACGATGACCGCGCTGCCGCCTGTGTCGACGATGGCGCGCGACTGCCTCTGCGAGCGCAGGCCCCGCAGGGCCGGAACGCCAGCGCCGTCGCCCATCAGGCAAGGGGCTCGAAACTCAGCGGACTCATCATTGAGTTGGATCGGTACAACTGCCTGGTGCGTAGCCTGCTGGCTGCCTTTCCCCACGCCGTTGACCACGACAGGGTGCACCATAGGCTCGACGTGCGTCTCGTAGCCCGCCGCCTTGGCGATGGCGCTCTGGCGATCCACGTCGTCGATCGCGCCGCTGTCGACCAGAAGTCCTCCGCGAGTGCCGGGTAGCTGCGATGTGGAGCGGGCCTGGTAGCCCGCCCAGGAGCCCGCGATGCGAATGTCACTGAGGTTGCTGCACCACGGGCAGAGGCGCTGAGTGCGCACCTGGGTGCTGCCCTGGCCGCGGCCGGCACGCTCTCCTCCACATTCCCAGCAGCGTAGGCAGTCGTCGTAGGCAGAGCACAGATGGCAGAACTCCATCTTGCAATACTCGCACTCGTAGAGCTCGTGCTAGTACTCCACCTTGCAGCTGTGGCAGATGTGGTCCTTGGCGATATTGTAGTGCTTGGGCTTCCTGGGGGCCTCATCCTCCTTCTTGCCAGCTGTCCAAGCAACGGGATTGAACGGTGTAGCGCAGCTGTCGAACGGCGTTCTCTGAGAAGAGGATGGGATCTCCCTGCAGGTCGACCTCCACGCCTGGCTCGTAGTCGTCGTCGACCGGGGTGAAGCCCTGCATGTGCCACGTCTTGCTGATGCTGCTGGGCGCTGACACGTCGCTGTGCGCCTCGCCGCAGTAGTACTTCCACGATCTCGGAGGTGCTGGCTGATGACCTTCAGGTTCAGGTTGCGGCTGCTGAGGTGGCGGTTGCTCAGGGGGGATCCTGTGGATGTCGGCGCTGACGGAGGAGGCGGATGCGAGACAAAGAAGGGGTTCGCGAACGTATTGTTGGGCCCCGCATTCGTCCTTGGCTTGCCTCCGCCTCCGAAGCGCTTCTTCTTCTGAGGACAGAAAGTTTGCAAGTAGTCGTCGCTGTCACAGATTGAGCAGCGAAGCGGCTTGCCGTCTTTGCCCAGCGGGCTTCTCTTGCCCATCTGGTAGTCGAACCGTCGCTTCGGGGAGAACTTGAAGCGCAATCGCTTGTGCTGAAAGTGCCTCGACCGCGTGTCGCGTCGTTCTCCATGCCCATGCCGATCTCCACGCGTGTGAAAGTCGCGACGTCGTCGGCCGAATTTGCGGAACTTGTTCCAGCGACGCGCGTGCTCGAGGAAGACCGGGTACTTGTCCTCGATCTCCTGGGGCAGGATGAGGCTGTCCCACTCGGCGCAGCTGCTCTCGTACTGCAGGTAGGCCGCCTGCGCCTGGTCCTCGTCCTCGAAGTCGAGGTCGTCGTCCGAGTCGTCGTCGCTCTCCATGAGGTCCAGCTCGTCGTCGTAGTAGTACTCAGTGCACATGCTGCAGGTCAAGCATTCGCCGCAGTGCTGGCACTGGTTGGAGCCAGTGTTGTAGCTCTAGTTCATCGCATGTGCTCGGGAAGGCATTCTGTCCCAGAATGCACCTGACGAGCTGCCACGCTGCTGCTCGAAGGTCGGGAAGGCGGAGAAGTGGCCGCCCGCACCGCCTCCACCGTTACCAATCAAGCCTCGGGGAACTTGAGGTCGCATCACGTTGTTCTTCCTGCAATAGAGCGAGAGGTTGCGCTTCAGGTGCCTCAGGAAGGACTCGTACTCGCTCTCGGAGCTCGGGAGCAGGCCACGCGTCTCCACGAGGAGGTTGGACCAGGTGTCCTCGGGGACGTTGAAAGCCAAGAGAAGCTTCCGAGCCAAGGATGCAGGAGCCATTTGGTGTCCCGCTTCGTCACGAGCTCGAATGCGGATGATGTCAAAGCGGGTGATGGCGTCCTCATGGTCTTCGCGTGGGCCGACGTCGAACTCATCGAAGGCGGCCAGGAGCTGCAGCTGCTTGTCCTGACTCTCACCGCCCCAGTGCGCCCGAAGGGCCGACATGAGGATCTCAACGCCGGGGCGCCCATCGGCGCCGTTGCTGATCACGTTGTCGGGGATCTCGCGCAACAGGGTCTTAGCCAGGCCGGAGACACGCTGGTAGATGGCGCCGCCGATCTGGTCGGCCTGCAAGTCAGTGAGCCGTACCCAGTTGGTGATGTCGCGCTCCCAATCCCTGAAAGTGTAGTCCGTGCCCGGCTGCCAGGCCGGGGGAATACGATGCGTGCCCTGAGCCTCCACGGCTCCAGGTGTAGCATTCGCCATTGTTGCCGTCGGTGACGATCTGCGTGTAGTAGATGTTCGTGCTGATGCAGTCGGTGAAGATCTTCGTGTAGTAGATGTTCGTGTTGTAGGTCAGGTCGCGGAAAGGAGCCGAAGCTCCGCTACCAAAGTCAACGTACACACTCGTCTGCACGCGCTCTTGCTCGTGCCTGCTGCTCTGCTGCTCTCGATCTCTGCGGCCCTCAAGCCGCGCCCTTTTCCAGCACAGAGGGGAGAGGTATGTAAGTTGTGCCAGGTGTCCGCCACCTCCTGCGGGGAAGTTGCGCCGACAGAAGGCGCGAAGAGCACTGGCTGCAGCCTGGATACGAAATGGCCGCGCACGCGCGGGGGTCAGGGCGAGTCGAGGACGAGCACGATGAGAAGGATCTGATCACTTCCTCCTCCTTCTCCTCCTCCTCCTCCTCCTCATCATCTTACTCTTTCTCCTCCTCTTTCTCTTCCTCCTCCTCCTCCTCCTCCTCCTCCTCCTCCTCCTCCTGCTCCTCCTGCTCTTACTCTTTCTCCTCCTCCTCTTCCTCATCTCAGTCCTCCACCTCCTCGTCCTCTCCTCGCCTCCTCCTCCACCCCTACCTCCACCTGAAACTCCACCTCCACCTCCACGCCGCTGCGGGTACGTCATCTTGTCGTACATCTCCGACTCGCTCTCGGCCTCAGACTCCAGCTGAGCCTCCAGGAAGAGGCGGCCGAGGGCAGGGACTGAGGGAGGAGGAGGACGGGGAGGGAGAGGGGCAGAGGGAGAGGATGGGGGGAGGGAGAGGGAGACGGAGGGAATTTCGAGTGGAAACCGCCGTCGCCACAGTGCATGGTCGTTGGGGTGGAGGAGGAGGAGGAAGAGGAGGAGGAGGAGGAGGAGGAGGAGGAGCCGACGCTCGAAAACGGACCGGGCACCGAGCGTCTCACCAGAGAGGCGCTGGACTTCACGACGGTGGGCGCCTCGGAGGCGCGCGGCGCCCGTGTTGGCAGCGAGGGAGACACGCACTTTTGAGAACGTGGGCGCCAGTGGTGTGGATGCCAGCCACTCCTCCTCCTCCTCCTCCTCCTCCTCCCCTCCTCCCTCCTCCTCCTCCTCCTCCTCCTCCTCCTCCTCCTCCTCCTCCTCCTCCTCCTCCTCCTCCTCCTCCTCCTCCTCCTCCTCCTCCTCCTCCTCCTCCTCCTCCTCCTCCTCCTCCTCCTCCTCCTCCTCCTCCTCCTCCTCCTCCTCCTCCTCCTCCTCCTCCTCCTCCTCCCTGACCGTCCTGTCATTGAGTTTAAAATGTGTTTAAAATGTCGGAAAAATGCTCTAAGCATGTTTCAAGCATGTTGATTTCATTCTTAAGACATGCTTAACACATGCCTTAGACATCTGGAAATGATTTGGCAACATGCTTCCTCTCCATTGATCGTCCTCCACAACCGCAGGGTGTGCGGGACGGTCAGGCGCCGGTCGAAGCGGGCGGTGGGCTGCACCAGAAGCTACTGTAGTGCAGGCACGAAGCGGCAGAGCAAGAGGCGAGAAGAGAACACAACAACGGAGCCCGATCAGACCACGTAGGCAGGCGCCGAAAGAGACACCCACACGAGCACAGAACATCGCTTGGCGAAGGCGGAGGGGCACCTCAGGAGCAACATCGGCACCTTCAAAGGCACAGGCCACATGGAGTCCAAACCACGGGCCTGTGCGAGAGGACCGGCTGCGAGTGCGGCCCATAGATCAGCGTCATGACACCTATCGCAGGCAGTGCTGACATAGCCAGCCTCGAACTTACCCTACGATTGACAAGCGGAAAGGCGACGGCAATCTGAGGAAGTCCTCAGAAGCTGAGGTCAGTTTTTTAGATCCGCATCGGGATAAGGTGATGCCCATCATAGGGATAGGAATGTGCTTCAGGCTGGCAATCACAAGGGCAAAAAGGTGGGAAAGGTGTTTCTTACGTAGAGTTCTGCGTTTCCAAAGACGGCCAGAGGAGGGGCATTCCCTTTTCATGCAGCGTTTCGCGCGCACTTTGGAAATTTGACTTCGGAAGACGGGTATCTCAACGTTACACTTGTGCATCCTTGATATTCAAAAACGCTTGAAGGGAGAAGATGTTGATATCTCGCGGAGGCTCTAATCACCTTCGTCACTCGCGAGCATTTAGTCTACGATTGTGGCGAGGGACAACCGAGAATTGGTCTGAGAAACGTAGATGCAAGGAGGGCTCGGTTCATGCAGGCATGGGCTATGGAGTCGAGTGGGAGGACATACTTGTCATGGTGCTCGGAATGTGTTGGCGACATCTGTGGGACTGCTGTCAAAACCTCAACGAATGGATGGCGTACCTCCCTTTCTTCCACGACCACGTGTGTCCTAAGTGGGGCTTCCTCTTGCCAACTTCAGCTGGTGCAGACACACAGGGCGAACATGGACCGATTCTGCACGAACGCCCTGGTGTGTCCACGCATCATCTGGAAAACATGCCGTGCACCCACGATTCGGAGGCTCTGGCGGTGAACTGGCAGAGTCATACAAAGATGGTGCTCTTCGTCACGGATTGTGCAGATGTTGCTGCAGTCACGAATGGCACCGTTGTGTTGTCCACGCCCGAGCTCGGCCCAGTCTTCGACTGCATGGGAAATGCCATATTCCACCAACATGATCAAGGATGTAGGCCCGTCGCAGATACTGGCGACGGCATCGAGCGGCATAAACAAGATTAGAGTATCAGTACCGACGACCTGGCAACTTACACTCGTAAAGGGCTTCACGACTTCTGCCGTCCTTCGACTCGCGCTGGGACGGCAGCGACTTGCTCCGAATTTCCCTGCACATCTCTGGAGCCCGTGGGATTTACATAGTTTCACCCGCGGTTACCAAAATGTCCCTGGATTTGCCTGCACTTACCCTGACAGATCCGGCTTGAAGTCGACGATTGGCGACAAGGCATCAAGCCCTTAGGGATACACGATGGGCGAAAGACGGTAAGAGGCAAGAGGCGGCTCCCGGTTCGCCCCAGAGGGCGGCCGCGCGCGGGGCCGGGAGGAGGCGCCGGGGCGCCGCTCATTCAGTCGCCTGACACATATAATTGTCCAATCCTTTCCCGCTCGGGCGAATTTTCCGCGAATTGCCTGCGAATTTTCTACGGTAGTGGTTCCAAACTCGTTCGGCCAGCATCGACGCCAACGCTGGCGATCTCTCAAAACGTACGCACGGCGACGCGCAGGCAGGCCAGGGCTCAGCAGCAGCGTGGGCGACAGAGAGGGTGTCCACTATGGGCGACTCGAAGGCTTCGAGGCCTTTGGTGATAGGCGACACTTATGTCAGCATTCCAGTATTGAAGGCGCCCTCGGACACACAAATACATATATATATATACACACACACACACACACACACACACACACACACACACACACACACACAAATAACAGGATCCCCCATACTTTCCATATTTTCTGGGTTTTTGTCTTTCCCCCAACTTCCCATATTTTCCTATATTTTCGGGGAAATCGACGATTAATTTGTGTCTGTGTTTTTTCCTCCTAAAAGTGTCCTCCTTCTCAGCTGAGGCGATGGCTCTGGGCGACGCAGTCCAGCCATTTCCACTTCAGAGACCACGAGCAGACTGCCGTCGCAGGAGCGACTTGGGCCTTGGGAATGAAATTGAGAAACGAGGGGCGGGAGAGGGAGATTGGGAAGGGCGAGGAGGCGAAGGGAAGGGGCGAGAAGGGAAGGAGGAGGAGGGGGGGCAGGAGGAGGAGGAGAGGAAGGAGGAGGAGGAGGAGGAGGAGGAGGAGGGGGGGCAGGAGGAGGAGGAGGAGGACAAGGAAACGAGGAGGAGGGGGAGCAGGAGGAGGAGGAGAAGAAGGAAACGAGGAGGAGGAATGGGAGGAGGAGGAGGAGGAGGAGGAGGAGGAATGGGAGGAGGAGCAGCAGCAGCAGGAGAAGCAGGAGGAGGGCGAAGATACGAATGAAGGGGGTCAAGAAAGCGGAGTGGGCGGCGGGAGCAGGATGGGGAGCTTGGAAAAGGGCATGCTCCTCCTCGCCAGCTCCCGGCAGAACCGCAGCTGGCTTTGCAGCCCTCGGCAGCTTTGCAGCCGACAGAGCTGCAGCTCCGCCCTCGGCAACTCAGCATGGCAGTACAGCAGCATTCTGCTACAGCGAGCTGGTCGCTGGTCCAGCCCCTACGGGCTCCTGGGCCTTACCGCATCCA